GCAGATCAAGGCTGCGGTGGCCGGGAGCGGCCACTGCACTCCAGTCTGGGCAACAGAGTGAGACTCCAACTCAAAAAAAAATTTTTTTTAATAAATAAATAAAATAAAATAAAAAAGAGGACAGCAATTGGGCACAGTGGCTTTCGTCTGTAATCCCAGACTTTGGGAATCTGAGGCAGGAGGACTGCTTGAGCTCAGGAGTTCAAGACCAGCCTGGGTAATATAGTGAGACCTCGTCTCTACAAAATCAAAAAATTAGCTGGCCACGGGTGCACGTGCCTGTAGTCCCAGCTACTCAGGAGGCTGAGTAGGGAGGATCACCTGAGCCCAGGAGGTCGAGGCTATGGTGAGCCGTGATGGTGTCACTGCCCTCCAGCCTGGGTGACAGAGTGAGACCCAGACTCAAAAAAGAGAGAGAGGTCTCCTGGAGATGCTCCACCACACCTGCCCCAGCCCTGGGCCAACCCAGTGCCCCACACCAGAGTTCTAACTGTCAGGAGAGCTCCAAGAAAGGCACTCACCAAGTGGGGAGGCACTGGGTGCGCGGGGGGCAGGACGCTTCTTTGTCTTGGGACTGCTGGTGGGGGTGATGCCATACCAGGGGTGCAGGGACTTGGGTGTGGACTCCGGGTGGACCAGGGCAGGGCTGGTGGCCAGGCTGGGTACGGCCGTGGACGACTCCTCCTCCTCCTCCTCCTCAAAGGGGTTATAGGGCTTGGGCTCCAGGCCAGCTGCCGGACTGCATGGGGCCCCCTCCTCCACACCTCTGTCTTCCACCCGCTCGCTGTCCCGGCGTGGTGGCCCGGGGCTGCTGCTTGGGGGCAGTGGGGCTGGCTTCTTCTTTGGCTCTGCTTGCACCAGAGAGATCCATGGGGGGTCCTTCCTGGGGGCTGGTGTTCTGGAGGTAGGCAGGAGGAAGCAGAAACCATTAGCAGAGGCAAAGGGTCAGCTTCCTTCTCTGTGGACAGGTTTGAGATCATTTCTAAGGGGGTAGATGAGAAACTGCCCCTTCCCTTCTCCCACCCCCAGTCCCGGGGGGCCAGACTGAAATGAACTGTTACAGTCAGATCCCAACTGGGACCCCAGAGAAGGTGAACCTTCAAGTCACACAGCCCAGAAAAGAACCAACAAGGGGCTATGCCATTTATCAGCCATGTGATCTGGGAAAGTTGCCTGACCTCTTTATGTGTCAGTCTCCCCATATGATAAGTGGGGACAATAATCCCTGCCTCACAGGTGCTGGTGTGAGGATGCAGTGAGCTACCACATCCAGCACTGAGTGGAGCACCTGAACAACTAGCACAGCCAGTTTCCCTCGCTCCCTATAGACTGACCATGACGGGGAAGCACAGCTTCCAAAGAACAGATGGAGATAGATGTCCCCCCTGGGCAGAGGACTGAGAGCCAGGCATGACAGCTGAGCTTTTCCAGGTTTTTCTACACTGCCGCTTAGCCTCACCACAACCCTATGAGCAAGCCTGGGTCTCCCATGTTACAGAGGAAACGGCGGTGGAGGCAGCTGTCTCCACTGCACACAAAAGCAGGGACCAGGGAAGCAGGTCAGACGGGGGCAGCAGGAATTCCAGGATAAGCCACGGGGGAAAGGGACATGGGCACAGCTCTCCTTCCCTGCCCAGAGATGAGACTTATTCCTGAGCCCGACCCCACACATCTACAGGAAGTCTCACTCCCCACCCAGCCCCAGGTACCCCTATTCCCATCACCAGGACTCCAAAGGAGGAAAGCCTCTCAAGGACCGACGTACCCCTCAGACAGCTTGGGTGTCCCCCTTGGCTTAGGGACAGGCGGTTCATGAAGTCTTCCTAGATGGGAAAGGAGAGTGAGCCAGGCCTTCATGGGCAGAAGAGAGGGGCACCCAGAGAGTCAGCTAGAGTGCCTGCCTCACCAAGGAGTACCCCTCCTTCCTACCTGTCGGGCCAGGGCAACCTCACCTGTACCCTCACACCTCCCCAGCCCAGCCTCATGGAGATTAGATAAGCACCAAAGGCAACTGAGAATGGTCAGGGGTCAAGGTCAGGCCACCTGAGATCCCATTTGCAATTCATCTGAGAAGAGGGAACCCAAGTCCCCTCAGACATTTTCGTAGTGTGGGCAAAAACATCATCACCATTCAGCCCAGGTATCGCCTCCTCCCAGAAGCCTCCTGACTCCCTGGTGTCCTCTGTGAATCCCACAACAGTCCCCACTTCCTTCCCTCCATCTAAACAAGTCTTCTACCTCCTGCGGAAAGTCCTGTGTCAGTGCCTGTCTCCCCTCAACACTGGGAGCAACTTGAAGACACAAACAGGTCTGAACAGGATCCGTGTCCCCAGTGGCCAGCTCAGGGCTGGGCTCAGAGCCAGCCTCCACAGTGCCAAACAGAACTGAACAAATAGAACGTTCTGGTGCAAGTCCCAGAGTGGCTCTGAGAATCTCCTCCCACCAGGCCTCCACACCTCAGGTTTCAAGGAGCCTCATTTTGAGCTCATGGAAGCCAAGGTCATTTGGGAGGGTTCTGCCCATGAGATGGGCAGGGAGAATGGGTCCACAGAGAGGGGCGGGGATCTCCACCGCAGTTCAGACTAGCTCAAGGGCCTGCCCGCTCCCCCACCCCCAGCCGCCTTCCAGCTTCCAAGCTCTCCCCTGGCAGACAGGACAAGTATGCAGGCTGGGTGTGGAGGTCACCTGGAGTGTGCCTGTGGATGGGCCAGGACACACAGCAAGGACAACAACGGGCAGAATCTCAGAGACGCTGGGGATACACAGGCAAAGGTGGATGTACATTCACTATGAACCCTGAAACTGATGCCCACAAGACAGACACAAAAGAACACACAGAGCAGGCAGCTCAGGGCGGGGATCTGTGTGTGCTTTGTTTGTGCTGTGCCAGCTCCGAGAACAAAGCATGGCACAGAGTGGCACTCAGTAGCTCGGTGTCTGCTGCAGGAGTCCGTAACCTCAGAAACACAGGTAGCCTCAGCACATCAAAGTACAGAGAGGCGCGGAGGAGGCCTACAAACCCCCAGATGTACAGACACACTCACCCCACGTGCCCCACCCCAGCCAGGTTGCGCTCACCATTCACCAGCCCGCTGCCACCAGCCTGCTCCACCAAGTTCTCCTGCTGTAGACTGGAGCGGGGCCGGGGTGTGGGGGGCGTCGGGGCTGTGCTCTCAGAGGCCTTCCTGGGGGCAGGTGTGGGGCGTCCAGCTGGCGGGCTGGCCAGCTCCTGTGGTTTCCCGAGAACCAGGGGTTTGGTGGGGATCTGGGGCCGGGCCTCAGGGCTGGCCTTGGGTCCATCCGCCTCAGCCCCTACAGGTGCACTAGAGCTGGGACCACCTCCAGGGACTTCCTCAGCTTCTGCAAGTTGTTGCTGGTGCTGCTGCTTTAGCTGGAGGTGGGGCCCGGACCTAGTCCCCGATCGCACCCCTGGGCCCAGCCTGGCACAGTGCTCTGCACACACAAAGGTGCCCTCCTCAGGCCCACTCCTGTAAGCCCCGGGGACCAGGGTGCTAGAGCACCGCCGACACCTACAGAAGACAAGACAGGGGTTCACTTAGCCAGGCAGGCCAGCTTAGGCACCCGCTACCTCTCCACCAGTGGCCAAGGCTATTCCCTGCCTCACCACCTCCCAACTGCCAGCCCCCATCCTGACTCAATACCCTGGACTTCCTAGAGGAAAAAGAAAACAGTAACTGTCAGTAACAATAGGATCATAAAAATCACATGAAATCAGCAACAGAAATTGTGAAACATGCCTTCAGTTTATATTGCAAGAGGAAAGAAACAAAAGTTCCCCCCAGAGGTACTAGCCAGTGGGTGGGCTGCCACCCTCTAGTGGGCCAGGAAGTCAATTTAGTGGTTTTCACCAACCAGGTTTGGGTTTTTTGTTGTTGTTGCTTTGGTTTGCTTTTGAGTTAAGGTCTCATTCCGGACATGATCACCATTCACTGCAGCCTCAAATTCCTGGGCTCAAGTGATCTTCCCTCCTCAGCCTGCCAAGTGGCTGGGACTATAGGTGTGCACCACCATGCCCGGCTAATTTTTGGGGGGTTTTTTGTTGTTGGGTTTTTTTTTTGTTTGTTTTTTTTGAGTTGGAGTCTCACTCTGTTGCTCAGACTAGAGTGCAGTGGCATGCTCCCGGCCACTGCAGCCTCGACCTACTGGGCTCCGGCGATCCTTCCGCCTCAACCTTCCGAGTAGCTGGAATTACAGGCACACACTACCACGCCTGGCTGATTTTTTATTTATTGTAGAGATGAGGTCTCGCCAAGTTGCCCAGGCAGGTCTTGAACCTGCGGGCTCAGGCAATCCACTCACCTCAGCCTCCCAAAGCGCGGGATTACAGGCTGAGCCACCAAACCCGGCTTTGTTTGTTTTTGGTTTTTTTTTTTCTTTTTCTTTTTTCTTTTTTTTTTAAGTTGGAGTTTCACTCCATCGCCCAGACTGGAGTGCAGTGGCCGCTCCCAGTCACCGCAGCCTCGACCCACTGGGTTCCAGCGATCCTTCCACCTCAGCCTTCCGAGTAGCTGGAATTACAGGCGCGCGCTACCACGCCCGGCTGATTTTTGATTTATTGTAGAGATGAGGTCTCACTGCCCAGGCGGGTCTCAAACCCGCGGGCTCAGGCAATCCACTCACCTCAGCCTCCCAAAGACGCGGGATTACACGCTGAGCCACCAAGCCCGGCTTTGTTTGTTTTTTATAGAGATGAGGTCTCGCTATGTTGCCTAGGTTGGTCTCGAACCCCTGGGCTCAAGCAATCCTCCCACTTCAACCTCTCTGCTGGGATTATAGATACGAACCAATGCACCTGGCCAGTTTTCTTTTAATGAAATAGAATGAAATATATCAGAGTGTGTTATAAGGACAAATATTGCTTTGTGACACTCTTATTCCAACTGTGCATCTACTTACACAGTTTTACTTCAGGAAAATATTTATATCTAGTCACAGTGTCAAATGCATTCTTTTTTTTACTGGGAGCCACTGCCTGGTGGCCAGATGTGACTGTATCGGTGTAAACTGTTCCCCCCTTGAGACTTTTTCTCCACGAAACCTCAATTCTGCAATCAGGTTCCTGGGGTTTCAGACCCAGTTGTCCCTTTTTTGTAACATATAAAACGTTTCATAAATTTTCTAAGTTTTTGTGTTTTCCTTGCCTCTTATACCACTCTCTTAAAACCTGGCTTCCTGGCGGGCACGATGGCTCAGCCTGTAATCCCAGCACTTTGGGAGGCCGAGGCGAGAGAACTGCCTGAACCTGGGGGTTCAAGACCAACCTGGGCAACTTGGTGAAACCTTGTCTCTACAATAAATCACAAAAATTAGCTGGGAGTGGTGGCGTGTGTCTATAGTTCCAGCTACCTGGAAGGCTGAGGCAGAAGGATCGCCTAAGCCCAGCAGATCAAGGCTGTGGCGGCCCTGAGCATGCCACTCACTGCATTCCAGCCTGGGCAACAGAGTAAGACTCCAACTCAAAAAAACAACAACAGCCAGGCTCGGTGGCTCAGCCTGTAATCCCGCGTCTTTGGGAGGCTGAGGTGAGTGGATTGCCTGAGCCCACGGGTT